GTGATGTTGCTTCCCCTACTGTGACTCCCCAGGGAAGCAGGATGGTGATTTAACTTTCCCAGAAATTCTGGAGGAATGTTTTCACTTATTTGAACTGGCAGGAGGGGTGACAATCAGTAATGAAAGCCTCTGCAAGACCATGCATAGGCACAAATGGATCTGGTTCTGGTAAAAGACTGCTGTGCTACACTGAGAACCAGCACAAGTAGAGACAAAACCTCTGAGACTAGAATTATTTTGCTGCCCTGGTTGTAGCTTTTTCAAGAGTTGGAAAGTATCCCAATCTCCTTGTCCAGCATATGGGAGGATCAGTGGACTGAGCAATTCCAGTGAATTCACATGAAAACCATCACCTGGACATATCCTCCTCAGAAGATGGGAAATGACAATAAAATAGCTGCACCTCGATGGTATTCATGTAAAAATATCTCCTTCTTCATCAGTAGCATGGCTCCCTGTGGATGCAGCACAGTCAGATCCGTTGCTTATATCAACAAGATGCTGCTTTTTCTCTTTGTAGGTCTTGCCAAACCAGAATTAAGAAGGAGAGAAGGCTGATGTCATCCTGACTACTATAGCAAGTACTTCAAAACTGCTTTTTCTCACCATTAAACTGTGGTGAGAGCACTAATACAAAATACCCTCCTAGTTTTCAGTCTAATTTTGCCCGCTGCTAATTTACAATCTATTTCTCCTGTATCCAGCAGGACCTTCCTTGAGGTTTACCCTCATGATTTACTCACCAACTCTTTTCTGAGCAACAAAATGTACTGGCTCATTGTCACAGGAATTTATTTTGGCTGAGGAAGACAGATGCATCATGTGAGGTCCCTCCTTTGGCTTCAGGAACTCTCTTTGCTTTTTGATATTTGATGTCACCTTAATTTATCGCTGAAAACTTAATTAAAGACCCAGACATACCAAAAAAAAAGGAGGAAACTCACAGTACTTTTTTCCTACATGAGCCATTTTCCTCTGAATTCCACGTTTTTGTCACATTCCAAACCTCACACTTAGATGCTGACATATGGAGAATTCTTCAGGCACTGCTTCTCTACAGAAGGTGTGTTTTGGCTTTAAAGCTGTATTCTCAGCCTTACAAAGGAGCAGAACCAAGAGCCCAGCCAATGCCTCCTTCTTCTGAGGCTCCTCTCTTTTCTTTTTCTCTATTAAATAGAAAAATGTTCAGAAATTGGTACATAATCAAAATACAGAACTTCTGCTATGATTGCTGAGGTAACTTGTAGCAGTGCCTTGAACTGCTTGGCAGCTGCTTTCCCCAGAGTTCCTCGAGTTCTGTTTTAACCATCTGATTTATGCAGAATATGGCTGAGAAAGGCAGCCAGCTCCCAAGAAGTTGTGTGTGCTCACTGAACTCTATGAGGTCTTATTTACACATGAAACAAAACAATATTGTTATACACAGACATGAATTTTCTTCCCCAGAAGAGAGGAATTCTCTGTCAGCACTGCTCTCCCACTGACTTAGTGAAGCATTTTTCTGGGCAGAGTGTAGGTCCTGATATCAGGGCTGGAGAAAACCACCAGACATTGTGTGAGGAAAGACTGAAGGACCTGGCATGTTCATTTTGGAAAAGAAAAGGGGGATCTAAGTGCCATCTTCAGGTAAAGAATGGGGGTATGGAAGATGCCAGGGCCTGTGTGACATCTCCATGCACAGCGTGGGTATTTTACTGTGTCCAGCAATTTCTGGGTCTCATAAAGAAATCATCAGTCACAGCTGAGGTAAGGAAAGGGCTGTAAACAGGATGAGTCAACATTTATTTCTTTTGACAGTGATCCCTGCATGCAAACACCGAGGACCCTGGATTTTAGGCTGACATTCAGCTCTAATGTAGTGGCAAATCCTCTATGGAGGAAATGTCTATCTGCCCCAGGTGCTCATTAAGGAGGAGGCTACTGAGTAAATATTTATATTCTTGATTAAAAATGATAGACCTGTATCTGTTCTTTGCCATCCTTCCCTTGCCTTACAGGCTATTATGAAATTAAAGTGTGTGAAGAGTAGAACAAGGGAAAATACCGAAGCACAATAAATTTTGATTTTATTTAAAAAGAACACTTTTCCCTGTCAACTCCCATTATTTTCCTAACAACATATTTTGCTAGGAGGAGTTCAAATACCCAAAGCTGTGAGGAGAAGCAGTCCATGCTCTCCAGTGAAGAGCTGCAGCATGCAGGACGGTGCCAGCAATGTGACAAGGCACACGGGCAGGCAGCAGCACTGCTGGCTCTCGTGGTTGTTGCCCTGATTTTTAAAAGTGTTAAGTTTTCTTTTATAGCTCTTTTGAAAGTTTTAAAGTCCTTTTAAAAGTTTTTTGTGCCTTCTGATGCTTACATATTTCTACTGGATTTCTCACACACTGTTCATGTAAATAATGATTATTTTGCATTCTTCTTTGAGAAGAGAGAATTGATGGACTGTTGGTTTGAGCAGTGTGGTTGGAGAGGTGACAATTTCATCCTCCAATCCTCTGTCACTTTTGGAACTCTACATATTGCGAGGTCAGAAATAAAATTTGCTCTTTTCTCTTTTTCTCTTTTGAACTTACCAAGCTTCTGTGTACTCATTTCGTGTCCAATAGCGACAGTGGTATTCTCACAAATGTCAGAGACTGAAATAGTCTCACTGTATAAAAACACAAGGCAAATCCCAGGAGAACTGGAAAGGATCCCTGGAGGTCTGTAGTCCAATCTCTTGCTGAGAGCTGGGAAGTCTGGAAGCTACAGACCAGGTTATGCAAAGACCCATCCAGCTGAGAGCTGAAAATTGATGAGGGTGGAGGTTCATAAAGAGTTAAAGTCATGGGGCACCAGGGGGTGAAAAAGAAGTTGCCTCCTTGTGGAAGCAATTCCTGTGAAGGCAAACCACCAATGATCCCAGTGGCACATCCCAAAAAAGCACAACTGGCAAGCAGCCAGCAAGGTGTTCTAGAAAAGCGGATTATAGCACATAGCAGAGGAAGGAGATAAAACAGATAAAAACTCAAAGTGAATGGAATGTTCATGTCTTCAGTGCATATTTCAAAATTATACATTTGATTTTTTTCAGTGGCAAAAAATATTGGAGTAGAAAAAGAGAAAGATCAGCCTGGGAATGGAAGATCTTCTGTTCATGATTCACCTAGAAGAGCTAGTCTTGGATCTAGTCAGGAGAAAAACAGAATGTACAGACATAATAAATAATTCCTCATATTTTGTGAATTTATAGGTAATTACACATTAGAAACCATATGGGGAAAACAACACTGAGGAAAAAAAATCTCAAAATAATTTCCATTTTGTACATTTGGAAAAAATAAATTTTTTGACATTTTGTCCAAAATATCATTAGATTTTTCAAAGTTTGTGTAACTAAAGTTTTTATTGGCTATTATTTTTTGTTTTCTGTCTTCTTTTTTCCTTTGGTCCAAAATTTTGAATGGATTTTTTTATTACTTTTTCTCCATCTTTTTTTCCTTGCATTTGACATTGTCTCACTGTGTTTTTTGTGGGCTAACTGAACAGTGAAGAAAATAAACCATTTGTGCTCATCCAAATCCTGTCCAAAACTACAGTGGAAAAAGAAAATGAAAGAAGGTAGAGGATAAAAAAATAAGGACAACATACTGCTTATTGACCTTTGTGTTATATTTGTATCAAATCTCAGCATTGATACAATGTCTGAGCTACTTGCTATTGTTCATGGAAGTTAGTGAGAGGCTTTTACAAATATATTCTCCCTTTTTATAACAATGGAGCTACTTTCACTTTAATATCATATTTAGATTCCATGCTTTCAAAATAATTGCTTCAGCATCTGTCATTGTCATTAAAGGAAGGTATTTTGGATGTTTCCCCTGGGTCTGATCCAATTTTCTCCTGAGAATTGTAGCAAGCACCCCCATCCTTACTAAGGCAGTTCACAATGGAGCTTTAGTGCCTAAGGAATTTAGTAATTTACTTTTTAAAATCTTAGCAGACAGCTAGAGTAGATAAATGCATTGCTCGTGAAGCTCAACAGATAGAGACATTTTTAATTTTCAAAGCACTGGATAAAAATACCTCAGAAACTTCTAAGCCTGGCAGAAAAGAGAGAGCTAAGCATTATAATAACATTTAAATACCAAATAAAGAAGCAGATCCTGTGTAGTTTGCCTTTGGAATGGAATTGCTTGGCCCACAGCTCTCAGAGAATTTAAATTGCTGAGCTGAACCTGGCCCAGCAGTTCTCTGATCACTTACAGAAGAGCTTATTTAATCTGAATATTGCCAAGGTGAAATGCACAAAGCAAAGCAGAGCTGGACCATCACCAGGTGAACGTCTAAAGGATATTTTCTAATTATTTTGCTTCCTTCTTGTATTTGCTGTGCCTGCCCCAGCCCTTGCATACACAGCAGTCACCTCGACAGCAAAATCTTCTGAGGAATGGGTGAGCTGAAATGGCCCTGCAGTTCCCTGTGGCTTGGTCCTGGCATCCCTCCCTCCCTGTGGGAATACTGAGGCTGCAGTCACATATTCAGTGTTAATGGCCTATATGCTACATTACTAGAAAATGTTCACTTGGAAAACTTTTTGGCCCTGTTGTGCTGCAGAAAATCTCCTCAGGGGCTCCCTGGCTCTCTGAAGGTACCTCTGCTATCACTCACAATGGAAGAATCCTCTTAGAAGTGCTTTCTCCCACAGCAAGTTTCCTTACAAGCTGCACAAAGTAGAGAAAAATTGGGGTGATACTTCATTTCTCTCTTTTGGCTTCTGCTTCTAGCTAGGAACAGACCTTACCAGCAGTCTTCTTTAAAATGAGCACTGGCATGTTGGGAGTTACTGCTCTGTACAGAGCACGTTTCCCCGCTAAGATTGTAATTCATGGTCGATGCTGTGGGTGAAGTCACACCCTCCTTGCTTCCTTTTTTTGTCTTGTTCTGCTCTCTTTCTTTTCTCAACTTTTTTTAGCTTTCCTCATGAAGCAGAATTTACATCACTTGCTTTAAGCCTCCACATTGCAGCTGTCTGAATGAGTCACCCTGGAAAGCCAGAAAAAAGCAGAGTCTCCCAGGAAGTGACTGATCTGAACCTCCTTGGGTCTGGCTAACTGCACCTCCGCTGAGTTTGCTGCTAAAGGGAGGAGTGAACTGGACAAAACCCACCAGTTTCATCCACCACTTCCACACTGTAACTGGGGCATCCTCCAAAATGTCTCTGGCCCCAGCACCTTCCCTGCAGAAGGACAGGAAAACCAACAGCCACCTTCCTTTGGAGCTCTGCCTTTGCTCCACTGATGCCTCAGGTTTGAGCTTTTCTATTTTTCAGATTCTGTGCTGCTTTAGTGTGTGGGTCTGGGTTTCATATTATGGAATGGTGAGCTCTCTGCACAGAGCAGGGAGACAAAACAATTCCTTTTCTAGCTGGGCACCAAGGACAAATGATCCAAATCTCAGCCCAGGAGCACAAACACCGTGGGCTGGAGAGAGAAAAACAAGCAGGGTGGGACTGCCTGGGCTAAAGCTGGAATTGGACAATGAACTCCAAGGTGCAAATGGAGTAGAACTTATAGAAGTGTGAGACCCCGTGACCTGTCATCCATTTTGTGACCATTTTGGGTTGTGGATCTATTTGAGGCCTCTTAATAAATCCTTACTTTATTCTTTAGCTCTGTCTAGTCTCTGTGCTAGGTCAGCCTTCCCAAGGCATCACCACAACTTTAATGTGCTCTCTGGGGACTGTGCACAAAGGGTGACATCCGCCAGAGCCCCAGCCCACCAACCATCCTTTCATCACAGCAGAGAGGATCAAGCTAGGGCTGCCACCTCAAATGGGCTTCTCCCACTTGGGCTTTGTGATCCAGAGCTTCCAGCAAACACTGGCCACAGGAAAACACTGCAAGGCTGTTGGAATCTGTGGTATTGATGACTCTGAGATTGTAGAAAGTCTCTGTCTTTCTGCCCCGCTGCCAAAGAAGAAGCCATAATTCGTTTGTGCTGGTTTCAAGGTTGTTTATTCTGTTTATCTCTAACATGTTCTGCTGCCCTGCCGCAGCTCTGTCCTGCAGGGCAGCGTGTGGGGCTCTGCCCTCAGTGGGATGTTACAAACATTAAATACCAGAAGCTACCTGTGCTGGATTTACAATAATGGGCCAATATCTGTCACCTACGTTGAACAGAGTGTCCCCAGCCCAAACCAACAGAAAAATGCCAACACCACAGTGAAACATGAAGAAGGAGAAAAAGGACAAGGCACACCCAATTTCCTCCATCTTGTCCCCTTTGGACCCCTAATCTAGAATCCTAAAATTTTACTTTTACACCCGTGCCACACTTAATTATTATTATATCAAACACTCAGAGCTTGTAATTCACCCTGTAAGATTGAAAACTCTTTTCCATGGACAGAGATCACAGACAGTGTCTCTGGGGGCTCTGTCCGGGGGGGTTCCTGACCCCCTGCCAGGGTCCGAGACCTTCCAGGGCAGCCAGAGGGATGCCCTGGATTCCCACACAAGGCAGTCAGCAAGTCTCACTGTGTAGGTTCAAGCACAGGGTGCCAAAGTGCTGCTAGCCTGGACCTGGGCTGGACCTTCATCCCGGTCCTCCTCTTCCTTTGCCAGACTTATTACGTGGTACAAAAAAGCCAAGTCCATTGCTCTTTCCTGCTCACGTGAGAGGAGCCACAGCCACAATTTCCTCAGATATAACCACTCCACTCTCTTTCCATGGGAGTCAGAACATTCCTGCTGAAGTTTCCCTTGGGTGAAGCTGCAGCTGTCAAAGCAAAAGGGATTTTGGCATGGAAACAGCAGGTCCACAGCTCTGAGTTAGAAACTCAGTGATGCCTGTGGACATGACATCTTTCCTGATCTGTTGGGAATCACAGTAACCCTGTGATTCCCAGCAGATGTGACACAAACACCACTGTTTGATTGCTGATAATACTTTCATGGTACCTGCCACACAAGCTGTCTTCTCTGCTGAGTGCAGAGCCATCAGCACGTGGGTGACCCTGCTGAGTTACTGGCTGCACCCACACCCTCTGCCTGGGTGGAGGATGAAGACTTTGGGTCTGGGGCATACTGAGCTTTCCCTCAGCTCCTCTGCTGTCCCAAACTGAGCGTGCTTCTTCCAGTTTCCAGAACAGTTGATGAAAAGAAGAGAGGGAGCAGGAGGGCAAGGCTCAGTGCAGCAGGTTTTGCTTGGACAGAGCAGGAAGGTTAGGGCTACCTTGGCTCCAAAGTGGAGTTTAGAGAGCAGTCTCATAGCAAGAACAATCCATTCCAGTAGATAGAGATCAGAAGAAAGAAAGAACACATCCACCAGTGACATCTTGTTGCTTTCTGCTTGCTTCTTCTCACTGTAGATGTGATGGCTCAGGTGAAATTGTCCTGGCTGCTCCTGCAGCTGTCTGGTGAGTAAGAAGCTGTATTAAATGTTCAGTAGCAATTCCTCAGTTTGAGAAACCCTCTGAACCCTCTCTTTAACATCTCCCTTGCTGGAACTTGCTGGATCACTGGCTTCTATATGCAATTACTTTATTTCATACTCTACATCCCAAAGCATATCACATTGGTATTATTCATGGAATTAAAAACACACTGGATTATACTTTGCACACTTTCCATTGCTCCCTCAAAATCTGCAGCACAGAGATTTCTTGCTCTTGAGTTAAATGCACACCATAAGGCTGGTTTCTTGCTCTCTGCTGAACAGTTATTCCATAGAATCCTTTCCTTGTTCTACACACGCAGAAAAGAGCAATATTCCAGGTAAGATGAGGAGACAGATGTGATGCCTTCCAGTTATAAACTCCTCTGAAGGTAGTACCTGACCAAACCTACAGTGGAAAAGTCTGTGTGATTTTCTATTATCACTCCCTAGTCTGTTGGGTGTGCTGTTTCTTGGGCTTTTACTTATCACCAGTGTCTAAATTTGACTCTGTAGTTGGTTAGGGATTGGGAGAGCTTTGCAGTGAGGAGTGAAAAGGTACTGAAGGGAATTACTACCAGAGCCAGAACAACCCGACACAGCCAGAACAAGCCATTTCCAGTTTGAAGAATGTCCTACAACAATCACTTCCACAGGGCAATCCTTCATTCAACTTTTTGGCAGAGAAGTTCAAAGATGCTTCCCAAAGGGGGAAACCCACATGCTTCAGAGATAGTGGAGAGAGCTCATTCCTTGCTGGTGGCTGCTCCACAGCACAAACAGCCATGGCAGCACAGCTGTGTGGGAGGGTGGGTGGCAGAGCTGAGTCACCAGCTGGAAGCACTCAGTGCCTGAGCTCACTTCAGCACTGCAGTCAAGTGGAGAGCACCACCAGACACAGAGGCTTTTCCTTTAGGGCAGAGTCCCCACCCTGTTCCTATTGGTGACCCTGAGTATCGGAATCTGTGGTATTGATGATTCCAAGATTGTAGAAAGTCTCTGTCTTTCAGCCCCACTGCCAAAGCAGAAGCCATAATTCGTCTGTGCTGGTTTCCAGGTTGTTTATTCTGTTTATCTCTAACATGTTCTGCTGCCCTGCCGCAGGTCTGTTGCAGGGGCTCTGCCCTCAGTGGGATGTTACAAACATTAAATACCAGCAGCTACCTGTGCTGGATTTACAATAACGTGCCAATATCTGTCACCTACGTTGAACAGTGTGTCCCCAGCCCAAACCAACAGAAAAATGCCAACACCACAGTGAAACATGGAGGGCATGAAGAAGGAGAAAAAGGACAAGGCACACCCAATTTCCTCCATCTTGTCCCCTTTGGACCCCTAATCTAGAATCCTAAAATTTTACTTTTACACCCGTGCCACACTTAATTATTATTATATCAAACACTCAGAGCTTGTAATTCACCCTGTAAGATTGAAAACTCTTTTCCATGGACAGAGATCACAGACAGTGTCTCTGGGGGCTCTGTCCGGGGGGGTTCCTGACCCCCTGCTAGGGTCCGAGACCTTCCAGGGCAGCCAGAGGGATGCCCTGGACTCCCACACCTGAGCAGCAGTGCAGGAGAAGGTCTCACCACAGGCACCCACAGCTGTCTCTGTCTGAGATGGTCTGGCCTTGTTTATTGTTAGCAGAAAGAAATGTATCTGAGGGGGTCACTTGGACATTCAAAAGCAGCCAGCTGAGCAGCCCTCAGGAGAACAGGGTTAAAGTATCCTGGTAATTATGAGATGAACCCCACCTGCTTTACAAAGTAGGAGAAGTGGATCTGTAAAGAATCATGTATCTGTGATAAACCTCTATCAAAGTGATGCCTTGTATCAAGACATTTGCTCTGTCTGGCTTTGGAGTGGCAAACTACACAGGCTTAAGCATTTAGTGGGGTTTCCCCCACTGTTGCAGTGTGCTGTTCCCCTGCCAGCTCTGCAATTCTCTCCTGGCTTGTAAGGTAAGCATGTATTCTATTGTCATCTGTTGGAGGTGGGGCAGTTTTCCATCTCTTCCAATAACAATGTCTCCCTCCCGGGGAGAGATCTTCTGTTAATGGGCCATGGAATGACTCCCTGCATGACCAGTAAAGTTACATCATCCCATGGTGAGATGCTCCACCCAGAGGGAGGAGCCAAGCAGCCCTACCTGCATCAAATCAGCATTTTTTGGGACATCAGGGCAATCCCTTCACTGGATTCCCAGAGGAGCAGCTTCTTCCCCACTGGATCCCCAGAGGAAGACCAGGCCCATCTACTCCATCACCAGACCTTCAGAGAAAACTCCACCCTTCTCCAGATCCCCGCTCCAGCAGCATTTCATCTGCCCCTCCAGGAGGAGCAGCCACCATTTCACTGGACACACTCCTCAGGGTGTCAGGTTTCTGACTCTATCAGTAGTTTTATTTGTACTAATTACATTTTAAAAAATTTATTATTTTTATTTAATTTATCTCCTAGTAAAGAACTGTTATTCCCATTCCCATATCTTTGCCTGAGAGCCTTTTAATTTTGAAATTGTGGTAATTCAGAGGGAGGGGGTTTACCTTTTCCATTTCACAGGAGGCTCTTACCTTCCTTCACAGACTCCTGTCTTTTCAAACCAAGACAAATTCCCAGTTATCAGCAGGGACAGACAGCAATGACATGGGTCTTGGGGTACAACAAGATGGATTTATTATTGGGCTCCAAGACAATAATAAATTGTCTTGGGAGGGGGGGGAGGGGTGTGAACAGAAGTTTTTATAGAGCAGCTCAGGAGGAGGGGTGTAGGAAAGTGAACCAATGAGGATATGGTAAGAGAGGACTATAAGGTGGGGCAAATAGCTTATGAGCCTGTCATAAATGAAAATTTGTCCAGCCAAATTAAAACGAAAAAATAAAATATTTATTTTTACAATCCAATTCTATCTATCCAGCCACAAGGAAAGAACAGTGCCAAGCCCGGGTGTGCAAAAAGAAGTCAGCCTCAGTAGAGGTTTTCCTCTATGCCCACACACCTCTATCCTGGCACAAGTGGTTTTTATAGGGAAAATTCTACCTGAGGCCAAGATTTCGTCAGTCAGTCTTTTCTTCCATTCAGAGTCCATAGGTTAATGAGATTTTTTTTTTTTTTTTTTTTTTTTTTTTTGTGATGAGGAAGAACAATTCAGTGTCCAGGAGCTGTTGAATCCCTTGATGAAATTTACGGGAATTTACATGTATCTGCCCTCTCCTGGCTGAGCCCATCCTTTTATGTGTAAATCAGGTTTCAACATACACCAGGTTTCACCTGCGAGGGTGGGGGACTCCTAATACAAACGTGTGTACTCCAACTAATATTCAATATCACATATATCATACTAGAAATGGCACAAATTATATCTACTACACATAACAAGCCTATCAGGGAAAATGGTGGGGGGATAATACAAAGTAATAAATGGGGTGTCGAGGGCAACAAGACAGACACAGAACTCTCTGGAGAAAGGGGTAGAGATAGGGAGGATTGACAACTTGGAAGGGAGGAGGTTAGGGAAGGGCTTGGGAAATTTAGCAACTGGGGAAGAAAGGGGATTAGGGAGAACAGGGAGCAAATGTGGATTCAAAGCAAAACATACCACAACACTACACGAGCAGATAGGAAAAACAATTTCTACATCTCAGGTTTTTTTTTTGGATAGTGGCATTCAAAATATCTTCTGCACACACTCTCAAAACCTAGGGTGCACCAGAGCCTCACTCACACAAAAACTTCATGACTCCCTCTGCTGCCAATGGGGAACATTTCCTGTGCATTTTCTCCTCTTTGTGAAACACAAAATCCATATAAATGTGCAGTTTGTGGATGTGGAACAATCCTTGTTTTATCCTCTGAGTTGTCATGGCTTGGCGGGGAGTTTGAGCTGCTGTAATGCAGGGGAACTTTGCAACATCCAGTTCACTGAACATCCTTGAAAACCCATTTATTTTCTTCTTGTAGTTATGTAGCCTTCTTCCTACTGTTAAATAGAAAGGTGGAGATAACAGCATCTGTTATTTTAAAAATACTTTGACTTTAAACTTCTAATTATACAATGACCAATTTACAGAAATGTCGTATTTTAATCACTCTTCAGTATGCCAGAAAAAATCACTTTTAAAAGGCAGTTCTAACTGCGTTTTCATGTCAGTGGGAGAGGTGCAAGCCAACATTTTGTCAAATATGCTAAATTACATGAGGGCGGGGCCTCATATATCTTTAACTGAGGATGCTGTGTGAGGAAGAACCTGTGTGGAGAAGGCTCTGGCAGGGAGCAGTGAGTGATGGCAATGCTTTGGGCAAGAACTACTGGGGAAACAAAATTACAAAGCAACATCCATCACAGCTTTGTACAAATGCAACCCCTTGAAACTTCGGTTCAAACCTGAATGACCAATTCATTATCGTTTTCTTTGCTATTTGTTTATAAATTACAGAATTATGGAGTAATATGAGACTTCTAGGGACCACCTGGTCCAACCAACCTCCCTAAAGCAGGAGGTTTAAACCTTTAAAGGTTGAATTGGTTTTCAAATTAATTCAGGTTGTTGAGGGGCTTACATAGCTCCAAGTATGGAGCCTCCATACCCTCACTGGCTTCCTCTTCCAGTGTTTCATTCCCCACTTCATTTGGAACCATTTGGTATTTAGAAATCTGGAGACAGTAATTCATATTCTTCTAACAGCCTGGGCAGGAAAGTTCCAGACTGTTGCACACAACTGAAAAGTCAGCAAGACTCATGAAATAGTTAATGAGATCAAAGCCTCCCTCTCCCAAAAATCCCAATCAAACTGTCTGTTTTTCTCATGTTTTGGAGCTGTTTCAGCACAAACCAGGTGGCATTCATCCCCATTATCAGTTTCCTGGGCAGAACATGCTAGCCTGCACTTGCTGTGTTCTCTGGAGATGCCTGATGCAGCCTTGGGTCCATGTGCTCTGACTCACTTGCTGGATCAGACTGGGGGAGCTCTTGGAGCCAGCTGATTCGCAAGCTGCTTCACTTCTTTAATTGATCCTATGTGCCTGTGAGCATGTTTGTACTCAAGACATCTTTGATATGAGATACAGCTCCATCATGGCAGAGAACATCCCATGACCAAATCAAGTGAGATCCCGTGTGTTACCCTCAGTGGCTCTGAATGCTTTGCATCCAGTCTGCCTGGCAGTGCAGGAGCAGACAGGCAGTTTGGTGCTCAGGCAGATCCAGTCACTCTGCAATAATGTTGGCAGACTCTGGCATGTGTAGGTCTATCATATGCAAGGAGGGAAAGTCTGCAGAGGCTCCCACAGGATGTGGTTTCATGGGAGCAAAACAGTGAGCTAGCAGTGGAAGCAGGCTCTGCACCAGGTTTTCCTGGAGCTGGGGGTGCCAGTATCTCCTAGGATAATATTCTCTTTTTGAGGGAGCCATGTCCATGCCACATTGATGTTGTCCCAGCTGCAGTATTTTCAATTTAAAATTTAAATTAAAAATCAGTGTGAGTGGAAGGCAAACTGTGTCAGCAAAAATGGACAAATATGCCTCCTTGTACATCCTTTGCACCCCACCACTCCAGCAGGAGACAAATACTCTATTTCAGATAAACCAGAATATTTTCTGTTGTTCCCAAAAGAAAATATTTTTGTTTTCCAAATTAAATTAAAATCAATATTAAATGTAATGAATGCTGAAACCACAATGTCTGAATTCCCTTCTGTGCACAAGCAGATGTTTCAGAGAAAAGTGCAGGAATCTCTTTATAGCAGTGTTGTCCCAGCCCTACCAGACAAAACCATCTGCTTCTGGGCTGAATTTTAAAAGAGAGAGAGTTTCTAAAGAGCAATATGCAGCTTATCCCCATGAGATCCACACAGCTGCATCTAGAATTCCCAGGAGTGTTTCGGTGCTCCAGAGCTTCTCTGTTCCTCCAAACTGGTTCTCTTCCTACAGCTCTGTACACTGAGGTGAATTATTCTTTATTCACAGATTAAAGAGGACACTACATACAACTGTGTGCATTTGTCTGCTGCAAAATGTCTCAGTTCTCCCCTGCCCTCCTGTCCCCACACTGTCCCCCAGAGCAGGGTCACTGAGCCCCTCTAGGGAAGGGTTGGGATGGGTGAAGGAAGCTGAAGCGCTTAGGGGAGCACAGCCCTGTGGCAAGCACATTTCTCTCCCTCTCAGGATTTTTCATAGAGGTGCACAGAGAGAAATGAAAGAGAAAACAATCTCTATTCCTGCTCCTTGTTTTTCCTATGTAGAATGTATTTAGAGAATTGTTTACCTGGAGTGATTGCTGGGTTGGATTCTGGTGAGGATTATTTGAGCCTGATGGCCAATCCAACCCATCTGGGACTGGACTCTCAGAGAGGGTAACGAGTTGTGTTAGAGATGGAGTCAGAGAAAGTAGTATGTAATTTTAGTATCCTCCTTTTATATAGTATATTAATGTATTTTAGCATAGTTATAATAAAGAAATCATTCACCCTTCTGAATTGAGTCAGACATCGTCATTTCTTCCCATTGGGTTCACCTGCATTTACAATACAGCCCCATTCCCTGTCAGGATGAGGCACCCAAAGTTCTCCAAGCAAGACTTTTGCCAGTGACAATCTCGCTGCTTAACTCAGTGTCAGCTGAGTCTTGCAGAGAAGGTTTCTAGCAGAGGCGAGTCCTGTGATGCAAAATTGAGTCTATATTTGTGCACAGCTAGGAAAGTTCACCCACTCTATGTAAGGAAACCTAAATGTGTCGTGTGTGTTAACTGCTTTTTCTGTGTGTGCTCACACACCCGCTGTGACAAATTTAGGCTGCTCTCCAGAGCCAGCCCTTCTCCTGCTGGTGTCTGGATCCCACAGTGGCTGCATTACACAAGAGAGAAGAACCAACACAACCATTCCCCAAACTGTGTCTACAGCTAACCCTACATCACCTTCTATGAGTCACCATCACTCAGATCTTGTCACACAAAAGAACATTTTTGACTCTGTGGTCCATCCAAGAATCTAACTGAAAATTCACTGCAATGAAAGTGCAGCAGACTTCTAAGGAGATTTTAAACTTTTGAGTAAACCTGGATTATTTTTCTCAAGACTTAATAAAAGTCCAGCTTTATGTTCTGGAGTTATTTAGCTCTTTCACTTACATGAAGCTCATTTTTCTAAGCAAATGATGAATATTTTCCTTTACAAAATTTTTGCACCAAAAACCTTACCAGTTTGTCTTCTTCTCGTCTTAGGATTTAGCCTGCATATTAAATGTAATTAATGAGATATTGTGTAAAATATCAAATTTAATCACCTTAATGACAATTTAAACAATAAGAAATTTTAACAATTTTTCTTAAAGCCTAATTTTATAAGCACTTAAATAGTGGTCTATTTAAGCAGCTTTTCCCTTTCAGCTATTCACACAATCCTTTTCTCTGTGCTTCTTCATTTTAGATTGAAAGGAATGAAAAGGAGGTGTCTTCACAAACAAAGTGTGGGCCTGCTGGTAGAAGAAGTCAGATGCTGATAGGTGAAAGAAGCAATGGGGAGGAACCAGAAATTCCATAGGAATTCTACAAATTGACAAAGACTGTTACCCACTCAAGACTGTGTTATATCCCTCGACTTAGAGAATTAAAAAGAAGAGAGGCACAAGGAAAATAAAAAGGGGGGTATACATTAGAAGGGGGTCTGTATTAGGTGTTGGTAAGTTTGTACCTCTCAAGTACCTCAGACAATGGCAAAGAGAGAGGGAAATGTGGCCAGGAAAAAAGGATAAAAAGGAGGCTGTGCCTTCTAACAACTTGACAGACCCCATGGGAAATGCCCCATGGCCTCTCCCTTTATTCAAATAAAGCTACAGGACTCCTCTGTCTTCTTTTTGGACATAAACCTCTGGTGTTTGTGGATTAATTTTCCTGACAAGACCTTTTGAGGAGCAATCTCTCTCCCAATCAGCATAACAGGAAGAGCCTCCTTCAAGTGAATTCCTTAAAATGAGGAAATGGGGAAGTTGCCTCCACTGAAAGGGATGCAATGGCAAATAAATAGCTTCTGTCCTTTAGTTTAATTCCCTAGAATATTGGGAAAAGAGAGGTTTTCCTCACTTTAAGTCTCTCCAGTGATGAAGACACAGGGATTTCCCCCTCAATCCAAACCCTTAAGAAAGAGGGATAGCTGGGCTTCCCCCTCAATTAAAGCCTTAGGACAGCAAAAAGGGTTACCCTTAATTCATGCCCATAAAAAGCATTGTCAAGGTTTCCCCTTCTATTTAAACTGGAAAATAATGGGAAATGGGGATTCCCTGTCAATTGACACCCCTAACAGCATAGAAAAGGCAGGGACTATTTCAACTGATACCATTAAAATTGCGGGGGAAGTGGATTCCCTCATGATTTGAACACAGGAAATAATGGAAAAGGAAGCTTTTTCCCATAATTTAAACCCCTTCTCTCTTCATAACCCCCCTCTTTTCTGGGAGTGCTTTGGAAGGTCTGGGGGTTCTAGGGAGGGGCTGACACAATAGAAGGGGAAAGCTGAAAGCTCTCCCATGGAACCCCACATGCTGCCCGGCCTGCTCAGGTGCTGCCCCTTGGCAAGAGGGCTCTTCCCTTGGCATTTTCTGGAAAGGATGCTCCATGCCCAGGTGGCTCTGGCTGCTCCCCAGTCCCTGCTAGATGTTCCAGCCATAACTCCTGGAGGAACACCTAGGATACCCCTGTTAGCTCCTCTGGATTAGAAGCTTCCTGTGCAGGTGTGTCCAGGTAGCTGCACTGAAAAGCAGCTGGTCACATGGGGAGCTGCTACACCTAGGAGTGAGGAATGAGGTAAAGAAAGGTCCTGCGGGGTGTTCCCTCCCCTACACAGCCCTTTGTCAGACCCATAAAAAAAGGGGTGCCAGACTTTCATTTCCAAGATAATTAACAGTCTTTCCCCTAGCCAAACAGGAATTGTGCTACCAAATTGCAAAGTGAACGCTTTCTCACAGACCACAGTTGCCAACACCAGGAACTCTTGCTGTCCTTGGAGAGCAGCATGCCTCCAGTGAACAGACATCAACACACAGGGAGGGTGAGCTTGATTTACAGGGAAAAAGGGCAGAGGTCAGATAATGAGGCCTGTGGCGCCAAGTGACTTTCTACATCTTCTCGTTCCGAATGGCACAGGATTTATCCTGGAACAAAACTGCTGCCAGCAAGAATTCTGCCTGCCCTGGAAGAGACAAGCACCACAGTGAAACTGACATCAGGAAGCATAGAGGGTGAGCCATGTTTCACAGAGAAAAGGGCCATTGATGCAGTCCAAGAGCCAGGGGCCATGAAAGAATGGCTGCCCCATGAAAATCTGAATGGAGAAAGATGTGTCGTGGACCCAAGCTGATGCCACGTTGCTAAGAAGTTGCCTTGTAAATCCCAAGCACAACTTCAAAAATAACACAAGGAGCTAAGACAGGTGAGTTTTCTATCCCACCTATCTAAGACAGGTGAGTTTTCTATCTATTTTCTTACCCAGGGTAAACGGCCAAAGTTTGTACTCAGGGCCCAGTGCCCTGAACAGATAAGTGACTGCACAAAATGTGACCATGGAAGCATGGGCTGTAAATATCGGCTGTGCCCCCTACCTAATTCTGCTCCCTTGGGATGGTCAGGTCAGCACAAGTATGAGGTGGGGGCAGCTCCGGTCCAGGACACATCCTTCGATGTTCCGATTTTTTGCAGTCAACTGCCCACTCAGCAGTAAAAACTTTGAGGCTCCCTGGGAGAAAAAAAAAAAAAAAACCAACAACCAAACCTTTAAATAATTATTTAAAGAAAATTACTTAATCCCTGGGAGCCTGAAATTTTCTACTGGTGCACTGGACATACAGTTTTTCTTCTTTTTCCTAATAGATATAGGGCCCCTAATTAGCGATCCAACTGGCAGGTAGCAGTAGCAATATGCAGCAACCAGTGTTCCCATCAAGCTCACCAGACGAATAATGATACAACCAAGAGTGCATCATGTTGAAACATAAATTTTAAGAGATTTAGAGATTTTAGAGGAGCTAAGATTTCAGTAAGAGACAAGCCTTACTAGAGTTAATTAAAATAAATGAGTAGGCCTTGATAAAGTTAAGGGTGAGTAGTTAACTATTCATTGATTGCCTGTCAGCACAATGTTTAGTTAGCTGGGTTTATAATGAAGATTATAGAAACTGAAAAATAGCTTTTAGGAACATAAGACAGTTGTGGGCCTCCTCTGTTCTGAAATCAGCTGAAGACAAGGAATGGGAGTTCTACCAAGAGTTCATTTGTCATATTTGCATTGAAACAGTAGAAAGGCCAGAACGAGGAAGACTTCATTTACTTCCACATTTTGGGACTCATCCCCATGAAAGGGACCACTGACCCATTTCAGGGAACAAACTTCATGCTTAATAGCTTTTGAAATGATTAGCATATGAAGCAAGGAATGGGATGTACCAAAATGAATAGGTATTTGTATTTTCGGTATTCAGTACTTGTATGGACAAAAGGGCTCTTTAATCACTTGCAAAGTGCGGTGTGTATCTGGGACTCTCCCGCATGCTGCTGGGCCTCGAATAAACATACACTTTCTAACTTCAAAGTGTTAGAGAGTTTTTGTCCGTCACAGTTGGATATCGGTACTAGATCAATATCCATATTTTTATTTTAATAAATCAACATCACAAGGATAGAAATGCACAAACAGGCGCTCTGCCCCCACAGCCGCCGGCCGGCAGCGCGCCCACCCCTCGGTCTCGCAGCGCCACCTGCCGGTGCAATTCGTGCACTGCACCCACGCCTCCCTCCGGCCCGCCCCTGCGTCGCGTCACCGCGTGACGTCACCGCGTCGGTGCCCCGACCCCTCCCCTCGCACCGCCCCCAGCGCCTCAGAAAAGCCCCCAAGCATTAGCCGCCCCGACAGCCGCCTGTCCGAAATTCCGACACCAATCCCGCACTCCAAAAACAATCTCGCGAGACGTCCTCCGGTGCGGGTGCACCGGAACAGCTCTACGGCACGCAGGGCGTGCGGAGGGCACACAAAAAACCGCCAAAAACCGCCAAAATCGACCCCGTCCCGAAAGTCGCCATCTTTGCCCGATCACGTGATTCTCAGGGCACGGCCATCTTTGAATCAGTCACGTGATGCAGAGGGCGCCGCCATTTAAAACCTCATATCATGACTAACTGGGCGCCGCCATATTTGTCCCATCACGTGGTGTAGTAGACGCCGCCATATTTGTTCCCACCACGTGATGCAATTTGCCGCCATCTTTGCAACGTCACGTGATGCCATGGGCGCTGCCATCTTTACCCGGTGATGTACTACCCTGAGCGCCGCCATCTTTGCCCCGCCACGTCATGCCGTGGGCGCCGCCATTTTCTAGGGTTATTCTTATTTTTAAGTTTAATTTTCGAGGTATTATTATTATTAGATTTATTTGAGGTTAGGGTTAGGTTAGGATTAGGGTTAGGGTTTGCGTTTTGGTTAGGATTTAGGGTTCAGTTTAGGGTAAGACTTTGAGTCAGGGGCAGCTTGGGTCTGGGACACATCCTTCGACATTCAGATTTTTTGCAGGCAGCTGCCACCTCAGGGTCACAGGCCCCTCAGCACGAACAGCGGCCCTTTCCCCCGGGTTTCTTATGTCAGTTTGCAGCAGGTGTTTGGCATTGCCTCAGCAAACAGAATTTTATTCTGCTGCAGCTTTTGTCTGTCAGATATGTGATGCCCCCTGCTACCCTCACCTTCTCCCTCACCCCTGTTCTTCTCTGTCCCTGTCTTCCTCCCCTCACCCCTATCTGTACTTCCAGCCCCCCCATCCTACTCTCTCTTCACCCTTCACCCCTCCCCATCCTGCCCCATCCCTCACTCCCCCCACCACCCACCTGTGACTCCTAGCAGCACCACATGGGAGCCCAAACTTGTGGGGATAGTGCAGCCCTCACAGCAGGACAACACCAAAATAAAACAGGCAGGGATGACATCTGTGGGCTGCACCGTGTCACAAACAGACCTGGGGCTGAGGGCAGGGGGCTGGAGGGTGGCACAGAGGGTGGGGGCAGCTGAGAGGCAGAAGGTGTCTGTAGGAGTAAAAAGGGGGGCACAGAGATGCTGAGAGGCTGCAATGGGGAGCTGGAGGGTGACACAAGGAGGCTGAGAGGCAGAAGGGGTCTGTAGGAGTAAAAAGGGGGGCACAGGGATGCTGAGAGGCTGCGATGGGGAGCTGGAGGGTGACACAAGGAGGCTGAGAGGCAGAAGGGGTCTGTAGGAGTAAAAAGGGGGGCACAGGGACACTGAGAGGCTGCGATGGGGAGCTGGAGGGTGACACAAGGAGGCTGAGAGGCAGAAGGGGTCTGTAGGAGTAAAAAGGGGAGCACAGGGACACTGAGAGGCTGCAATGGGGAGCTGGAGGGTGACACAAGGAGGCTGAGAGGCAGAAGGGGTCTGTAGGAGTAAAAAGGGGAGCACAGGGACACTGAGAGGCTGCAATGGGGAGCTGGAGGGTGA